AAGTTACTAACAGTTTATTCATGATGTAGCCATTTAAAGGAACGTGCTGAATGTAAGTAATTAATTAAATTAATTACTCTTATCTTATTTTATATTGCTAGTATCATGATTAGGTTATTTTATATTTGATTTGACTAACACTATTATTGATAAATTGCTTCCAATATTGATGTTATTCTATTATTATTTTGATCACCATATTGCATGTTTAAAGGGAATATGTAATTGAAAATAACGCCTAATAAGATAATTTGGACAACCGGTTTAGGTTCCTTTTTAATCTTATTTTTTAATCAAGTGATCACAATATTTTAGAATTATGTGTTGCATTAATGTTCAACCAATTTAGCTTAATAATAGTTTGGAGCAAATTGATTTTTTGTTTGTATGCCTTTGAGATCGCAGGAATCACTTTTCACTATAAGAATCGAGTAGAGGCCAATACGGGCGAATGTGACTCCATGACTCACTTCGTACCATCATCCCCGATCCTCCCTTCGTGGTTCCGAACCATATGGATTTAGTAATCTCATGGATTATGAATGGGGTGTAACCTTCACGGGTCAATCGTTGTTGCCTTTTTTGTCCCTTAATCGTGGTTGCCTTTTTATGATCCGTGAACGGTTTACAAGTTCCTTAAAAACTTGTTGGCGGCTCCCTACTTTATTTGTCCCTTATCGTATTATGTCAATTCCCACTTCCTAAGAGTGCCAAGCGTATTCACACATGCGTTTAACGTAGGCGCACTTCGAACGACGCCTACAATGTTTAGCTTGGGGGAACTTCTTTGTATCTCGGTTGCCAATATTTGTTGTTGTTGATTACCTTGTATTTTATTTGCCTCTTGCATGATGGTTTTCATAACTTGGTCTCTAGTCTTGTTGATGCTTGTTGCTAGTCCCATGAGCTTGTTTTGCCATTGTTGTTGTGATGATTTCCTTGTAATGATGTTGATTGTTTCTTGCTCCCTTATATCCAAAACCCTTGAATCCAAATCCCTTTGAATCCAAACCTTGTAGTCTAATGTATTTTAGTTAGTTAGTTGTTTAGTTGTTTACTTAGTCTTTCTTTATTTTCATTTTTGGTCTTTGTTAGCTTAGTTTTGCTTAGTTGTTTAGTGTTTTTGTTAGCTTCGTTTAGTTTTACTTTGTAGTATCTTTTTATTTTGTTTTGAAGTTACTAACCTTTTTTTTTGTTTATAGCTTCTTTTTCTTTTCTTATTCTCACATGGCTTTTTGATGATGCTTACGATTTTGGAGCGTAACGAAGGTGGTTCTTTCTATCGCCTTTGTTAATTATGCTAAGCATGGATAGCCCGGTGAGACCTTTCCAATTTTTCTCTTTATTTTCTTTGGATGCATAGATTAGGTTTAATTTAGGGGAAGTTGAACGGTTCGAGGATGATTTCTTGTTAACACGTCATGTGTTTGGGATCGTTGACGATGTTGTCATTCGATCACTTGTATGTCGATTGGGATATATGTGTTTAACTTGCTTTCTAGTTCCTTTCTCGATTTTTTTCCTATTCTTCCTTTATCTATGGTTTTCCTTTTCTTTTCTTTTCGTTTATTTTTCTTTTCCCTTATTTTTACTTTGTTCTTGTCTTGGTATGTGGTATGCTTTTGAGGCTTGTTTTTCACCCCTTTTAGTTTTCCTTATGAATTGGACTTTGTACATTGGACTTTGTCTTTTGAATGAATTTCTTCCTAGGTATTAAAGGTATGCACGGTTTGAGATTATGCTTGGTTGACTCTAGGATAGGTGTATGCTAGGGTAGTTGGTTTGAACTAGGAGGATCATGAAGCTGGATTCTACTTGTTTGTGGCATGTTAGTAGTTGCTCCGTATAGTCGATTTGACACCACTAGTGAGTTTTTGCTACATCCATGTGAGGTTCATTATTTTTCAAGCCTTCAACCTAATTTGAATGAGCGGCGTGGATCCTTGATTGCGGACCTAATCTATAAAGCTTGATTTTTGATTCTTCAACCCGAGACCGAGCTATCTAGGGAAGACAAAGGCATCTTTTCGGGGTGGTATTTTTCATTTTTAGGATAGTTTGTTTCATCTTTGTTTTTGGGTTTACATTTGCCTTCTTGCAACCATTTGAGCCTATTACCTTCTTTTCAAGCCACATCTTTAGATATTTGGCCTTTTGTTTCATTTTCTTTCTTTTCTTTTTTGTTGTGAAGCAATTGATCATTCTTGATGGAGTTTGTGGTGAAAAAGTTGGGATATGTGGTTCCCTTGATGCAAGCTTGTGTTATATCTTCTTTGTGAATAATGGAAAATGAGTATGAGTAAAATCCGTCCTTAATTATAAAAGGCATGGACAAATAAGTGCAATAATTGAAAAAGCCGTCCGAAGTTGGAAAGAGGCAAGGATAAAGCATAGCAAACAAAACAACATAAAAATTTGAAAAAGTAAAAAACTTCAAAAATATTTTGATGTATTCTTTTCTCCTTCTAAGCATTGAGGACAATGCTTCATTTAAGCTTGGGGGAATTAGAAGCGTTTACGCTTTTTGTACATATTCTTGTGAGTATAGCTTTGAATAAGCTTGGGGGTGTAGTTGTTTTTGTTTGGTGATTTCTTGATCGTGATGTTGAGGATTGATCACCCTTTTGCTTCACTATTTAGGAAAATCGCCAAATTTTAAATTTTAGCCTACCTTCACCCTTTATGCCTTACGTTACAACCTTTGGGAAAGCTCTTTCGACCTAGAAGTTGAGTTACTATTTGGGGGAGCGAATCATGGGTCATTTCCTAAGCAAAGGGGGTGCATAGTCAAGATTGTCGAGTAGCCTAAATAAATCTCTTTTTTCCGGTTCCTTCGAGGAATCATTGGGATGCTCACTAAGGGGAGATTTGAGACTAGTGGGGAGAACGCGGTAAGATCGTTTGGGATGAACGTGGATTTTGATGTCTAGTTCCTATGCTTAGCATACCTTATGTTTCAATCAACCTTGGATATGTTGGAACGTGCATACCTTGATTGCTTGAGAAAGATTTTCATTCATTTGCAATGTAGTCTCTTTGTAAGTCCATTTTGCAAAGGTTTTGTTTTCCCTTTTCCCTTTTTGTTTTCTTTTTATGGTTTTGCCTCTTGGATGTTGGGGAGAGTTATGGGTAAACTCTTAGGATACCCTTACGAGAGCATTACTCGTCCTCTAGGGCGATCTAGGGGTTTAAAATGGCTTGTTGTAGCTAAAAACAACCGTGATTCCTACGACAGTGAGTCTTAGTGTATATTCTCATCTTGAGTCTTTCTTTTTCTTTTTGAATAAGTCTTTCATCCTTATTCTTTCTTGCTTTATTTTGCTCGAGGACGAGCAAAAGTTTAGCTTGGGGGAATTTGATGAGTGTCATTTATGGCACTCATTTCGCTTCTTTTAGGATGAATTTCATGCTATTTTATAGCTCTTTTCTTTAGTTTTCCTTAGTTTTGTTCTTTATTTCTTTAGTTTGTGTTTCTTTAGTTAGTTTTCTTTCTTTATGCATTTCTTTGTTTATTTGGTCTTTTTCCCTTTTATTTGCTTGTTTTCGTGTATTTTCAGGTGATGATCGTGTTCCGAGGATTCCCGAGCTTTCCTCTCATATTTCCCATCACTTTGGATGCCTCTCGCTTGTCATTTGGAGCTCAAGTTTGAAGGAATGCAAGGAGAAAGTTCATGAGACGGTGCATGCATTCGGTGGGGGCATCATCTTTGGCATGAACCCACCAAAATAGCCATTTCAAGACTGCCTACCTTAGTGTTCATCATTATCACCAAGACGAGCGCACGAGGATGAGCTAGGACGAAGAAGGGGGGATCCCCTGTTGCCAGTTACGGGCGCGCACGAGAGTGGTGCGGCGCGGGCGCGCCTAATGCGGGTGCGGGTGCGCCTGCCAGGGCCTCTGTTTTATACCCTTTTTCTCGCGGCTGCGCCTCTACCTTGATGCGACCGCACCTTCCGGGGTTTCTTTTGGGACGATCTAACTAACTCTTCTTTTGAATCTTTCCTTTATATAGTTTTTCCTTCTATTTTTAGAGGAGAACTCAATGAGAGAATAGATTAGATCAGAATTAGATCATAATTAGAGAGGTTTTTAGAGAGAGAAGTTCATGGTGGATTATTGATGATTTGAAGATTTCTTCATTTCCTTTGATTTTTATCAAGTTTGTAAGGATTCATTTTCTTTAGTTCAATCTTTAGTTTGATCTTTAGTTTGATTTCAATTGTTTTGTTGAATGTTCTAGTTTGGTTGAAGTTTGATTGATTTGTGTTTGATTTTAGCTTGTTTGATTTGATCATGATGAATTTGTTTCTTAATGTTGTTTTGATCTTAATTTCAATGGCTAGTGAGTAGATTGCTTGCTAGGGTAATGGTGAAGCATGTATGAGTAATGGATTAATGCTAATTGGGGAAAAATGATGGAGTTGACTATGTGATTAAATTGGTTGATGATCATGTGCATGTGTCTGATTAATTAAAGAGTAGCTAACTTTGATTTTTACACTAGATTGCATTGTAAGTTCACATTGATAGGGACCATTGATTTGTGGCTTGCATTTAACGATTGAGGTGTCTTGTGACGTTCCTAGCTAGATTTTATCGTAGTTGACGCTAGTTAGACCTCTAGGAAAATAGCTTGATATGCTCTTTTGGTTGCATGATTGGTCTTCCCTCACATTGCTTGACTTAGTCACTTTAACCTCCCAATTAGTTGAATCCGTTACGATTGCATGTGGATCCTAGCCCTAGCGTTTTACATACTTGATTTCAATTCGTTTTTTAGTCATCCTTGTCCTAGTTTACATACCTACACCCTACCATTTCGGAGTAGCTTGACTTAGGAAATAGATAATCGCCCACTGTTCCTTAGTGGTTTGACCCTCAACTTACCATTATACTTGTGTAAGGGTGTGTTGAGAGATTACAAATTTTGTTTGGCCTTGGGTAGGGGTTAGTTTCAACGACCTAGTCTCGACCCACGTCACTAGATAATAAATTCACATAACCAAAAGCATATTAGTCCTTTTCCAATTAAATATACAACACGCCAATAAAAAATATGAACTTCACATAAACTCACCATCAGAAATAGACCGCATCCCCACCACCAGCAACAAAGCCTTTATCTTCAAACTTTTTGTGAAAATCTCGCAAACAACTCATCAACCAACTATGACCACAAGTACACCAATCAAATTGACTGGCAATAGCCCCAACTGTAACAGCGGGCAGTAGGCTAGTGCCATGCTCTGACCATTTTTAGTAGGACACAAGATACCACCCAACACAACTATTAAGAACGCCCTCATAAAATGGTCCTTCTCCTCCTCTATTTTGATTGGCATGAAACCTAAAGAATCATAGGCCTTTTGTATCGGAATACTTTCCCAGCCACTAGAATTCACCTCACCGAAATTCCTAACAATGTCATCAGCTTTACTCTACATAACTACATCCTCAACTACAACCGGCATGGGGTTTGGATCCAGTGGGAGACTAAGTATGCACATCCATTGCTCAGGACCTAGCGGTAACTCCTTCCCACCAACTCCTATAAATAACTTCTTCTTAGGGTCGACCCTAGTTATGAGCCAATAACAAAACCTACGATCCAATGTTTTCACTTTCAACATCAGCATCCCGCCGAAGCAACAGCTCTCCAGTAGCTCAATTTTCTTCTCGTCGGTCCTGAACATAGAAATCAGATCACAAAAAGCAAATACACGGCAATTGCAATTCAAAGGTTGTTCACAAAATTCAAACAAGACATAATCAGCACAACACATAAACATACAATGGCAATTAACTCTTAATGAATTATGAGATTACCTTCCTGCTACAGTTCCTCAACTGAGTACTAACCACCACCCCATTCATCTTCACCTTATCATCGACCGATGGGCCCGGTTCCAAATCAAGATACAAACCAAAAACCAAAAAAAAATTGACATGCTTAAGTCTAATTTATATATATATTTCATATATATACAAACAAATACACAATTAAATAGGGAAATTTTGTGTAAAACTACCCTAAAGATAGGCTGATTTGTGAACAACTACCCGTTTTAAAAAATATTGTTTAAAACTACCCATAAGATGGCAAATGTTTGTCTTGTACTACCCATTAACGGTTTCCGTCCAATTGAGTCGTTTGTGGGGCCCACTCATACGGTTTCTCACTTAATTCTCTCCTCCTTCATTACTTTCCCTCTAAACTCATCCAAAAATCTAAATTCACCACAATTTATCACTAAATATGGAAATGTTTTAAGCTATTATTTCAATTCTTAGTATATTCATTGGTTTAAGGTTCTTAATTTACTTCAATTAACATAATTAGGGATTCAATTTAGGGTTTAGGGCTTCAATAATTCAGTTTGGGGATTTTAATTTTTAGGTTTTATGGCTTGAATTGAATTAGGAATTTTTCTTATTTCGTCAATTAACTTTGCCCTTTCCTTTAACCATTGATAGTTTCACCCTCTGACATATAAATACCGAAAGTAGTAAGAAGATGAAGAGGAAAGAGAGAGAAAGCAAAGAAAAGAGTTATAGGCCTTGTTAATTTTCCACAAAGGGGATGAATTTTGGGAGTTTGGTTAGGGTTTAAGATGGTGAATGGTGGAAGGTAAAAGAAGAAGAGTGAAAATGGAGGGATAGTATAAGGAAGAGAGAGATAGTTGAGGGGGAGTTATTTGGGTGGGAATTCATAGAAATGGGCCCCACAAACAGCTCAATTGGACGGAAACCGTTAATGGGTAGTGTTAGACAAACTTTTGCGATCGTACGGGTAGTTCTAAACAATATTTTTGAAAACGGGTAGTTGTTCACAAAATAGTCTATTTTTAGGGTAGTTCCACACAAAATTTCCATTAAATAGTCATCTAATCTTCAACCTTTTTAAAACACTAATTACTTTACCTTATCTTGTTCTACTACAAACTGCCTCTCCACCATAAATGGTCTCTCTACTGCTGTTGGCCTCTCTACAAATGGCCCCTCTACTGCTGTCGGCTTCTCTACAAAGGCCTCTCTACTGTTGCCGGCCTCTCTACAAAAGGCCTCTCTACTGCTGCTGGCCGCTTCACCTTTCTAACAGACATCTGTCGTTATTGAACCGGTCTACTCTGAATAGTTGTTAGTTGTTGAACCAGTTTACGCTTCTGGCCACTACGACTAACTACGTACTCCACCTCATCCTCATAATCACCAGCTTTTGACTCCTCTTGTGCACCTTCTTCTTCCTCTTCTACCACATAATCAGCATCATAATCACTAACCAAGCCTTCATATGAATATTTGTCAGCGTCCTTATCCTCCTCAACTAAAACTTTCAGTTTCCTCTTATCCGTCTGTTTGCTAGACGAAACAGCAGGTACATTTCTCATGATTTTTTTTCAAACTACCCTGTAATTGTTGTTATAATGCAAATTCATTACACAATATCTTCACCCCAAGCCTGATTCAACAAAAGTACCAACTCATCATATGTACAAAATAAGGATAAAATTCAACAAAAGTACCAACTCATCATATGTATAAAATAAGAACGAAATTCAACAAAAGTACCAACTCATCATATGTATAAAATAAGGACGAAATCTAAAACAAACTCACTAACACAGCTTCATTACAAAACACTCACCCTCCCCCCCCCCCCCCAATTACATCTGCAACTTATTGAGGACGACTCGCCAAACCTCTCGGACACCATGACTAACATAAAGGAAAAAAATTACGAAATTAAATAGAGAAATTGAAAGACCATGCATATCCCCAATAACAACACCTTCCATACATATCTATAATGTAATACAAACAATGCCAAAATAATTTTACATATTCTAAACCAAAAAACATTGACAATAAAAAAAAAAGTTTATCTTAACAAAAAAGAAAGTCTCCCCTTCAGAAAAACAGAATTACAGGAAAAATGGCATCAAAACCCTTGATAACCATTTTAGCATAATTATCATGCCTAATGAAAATACCAAGCACACACCTGATGGTTAAAAAACAACACCAACACTACATATGAAGGTACCATTATCGACAACTACACTTAAAAGCTGAAAAAAATCCCGCAATTTATCTTTCACATAACCATTTTTAACATACAAAACTATCATCAATCCTAATTAACCAATACCATGTACAATTTGTCAAAAAAAAAAAAACACCACGTACACAAAACAATTTCAATAGAGATTCCTTGGCCAACAAAGCCAAATTACGCCACATATTCCTAATTCTAATTACCATTACACGACAATCGAACCCATGAATCCATTCCAGAAACATATTTCGAACACATTAACTGTGTAAACAAAAAACCCCTAATTTCAACAATTTACAAATAGAAAACCCTAAATTTTCAATTATACAACAAAAATCCTGAATTCAGACGTTTATATCAACAAATTAATTCAAATAACTATAACAATTTAAACAAACACCCATTCAAATGTAAAATGATGAAACCCTAACTATACACAATAAAAAAAAATCAACAAAACTTACCACAAATCGTTCCAAAACGTACTTTGGAACCGCGACAACTTCACCGACCCAGAATTTCTGAGCTCAAAGGCTTCGTCTCCTTGAATTCTTGGTCTCACGTCTCTTCACCCCTTGAATTTCTCTCTCTTCAATTTCTCACTCTCCTTAGTAAAGTACTCAAATTGCTTTCTCTCACCTCTAATAAAAGTGCACCTCTTTACAATTAAAACCAACTTCTTTTGACACTTTAAAATTCAAAATTTGTACTGAACATGAGGGGCCCACACCTCTGCGTTTTTTTATTATACAATAGGAAAACTTTTACGTAAAATTACCTTTTAACCCTTGGTAGAGTCCAACTTGGACTCAAGTAGGTAGAGACTAAGAATTTCTCGAACGTAGGTGGGCTAGTTATAACTGAAAATTTATGCACAATTTGGGTAGATGATGCGAAAAATTATTAAACTAACTATATTAGTACTCGTGCGATGTACAATTTAAAATTAAAAAAACAATAAAGAGTATAAAATAATAAATCACAAAAGAAGGGTTTTTGGTTAATTTTTTTTAGTGTTTAAAGAGCCGCAAGGACGGGGTGAGAATCGATCCCAGGATCTCCTTGAATCGTGAGGAAAGATCTAACCACTTGAGTTATCCCTCACTCACTCAGGGTTTTCGGTTAATTAATGTCCACACTTGTAGAATTATTTTCCCAATATTATTGAATTTGGAAGGACTAAATTATGGGAAAAATAATGTCATAAGCAACTTTGGAGGGAAATTTTTCCATGATAAATTGACATGTGTACAAAGTTGATATAAGCGGTTTTTTTTTTAATTATAGTTATACATGTAATTTTTGTTTGAAGACAAGCTAAATTGATTTATCAATGTATTTTGAAAATACATTAATCGAATAAAGATGATACAAGTTAAAGCTGAAATAATAAATAGTTGAAAATGATACACATTTGTCATAAATCATAATTTACCTTATATTTTATGAGAATTGAGAATAGACCTTTTAAAAAAAATGGTGGCAAAAAAGAACTTTAAGGCCTTTTTGGTTGGGGGGGATTTGGGAGGAAAAGAAAAGAAAGGAAAGCAAAAATATAGATTTCTATGTTTGGTTTTAAAAATTATAGGGGATTTGATGGGAAATGAAGGGTAACGAAAGGAAAGCTCCCTTCACAAAATTTTCCTTTTCCTTTCATCCCAAAATTGGAGGAATTTGGGAGGAAAGAAAGAAATTAAATCTATTAAACTTACAATTAGTTTTCCCTTCCCTTTCCTTCATTTACTAATGTCATACCAAACAAAAGATTCCTCTCAATTCCCTTCTTTTACTAATATCAAACCAAACATTGGATCATATAGTTTCTATCCTTTCCCTTCGATTCTCTTCCTTTCTTTTCCCTTCCCTTCCTTTGCCTTTATTTCCTTTACTAATATTGAACCAAACAAAACCTTAGTGACGTTGTTGTATAATAGAACCTTACACTGAATTTTGGGAGTTGACTATTTTCGGCATGGACCCACATGTCTAGCACATGGTATTTGAAAAAATAAAACATTTTGTTAGAATTGACCTTTTATATTCTTACTTTTATAGCAAAAGGTCTTTTAAAGAAAAATTAGCAAAGTAGGGCCTTTGTTATGTCTTTGGTTAGTGGGATAAGACTTTATGTCGGATTCCAGGAGTTGATTTCAACTATCCGCCATAGATAATAACGTGCATGTCACATACAATTTTGATGTAACAACTATTATTGTTGAATCTAGAATTGAGAGGTGTATAATTGTGAATTGATATTATTGATAACTAATTAAAGAATCTCTAAATTAATTATATAATAAACTTTTCCATGCATGCATGAAATTTAAGCTAGTATCAACCATCAAACAAAAATAATAGCTAAATTAACATGCATGTAAATGCATGGTTGACAAAATTGTCAAAATTTTGAAGATCAAATAGTAATATGATCGACAGCCTACCCTAAATTCATACAAAGACCCAACGTATGAAATCATTTCAAAGTGTAATTGTATTGGTGTAGAATATATAATGCTTCTCTTAAGAAAGCAAATCATGCATAACTTTGTAAAACATTTTAGTCCACCCTATGAGATAAAATTTAGATCTTCCTCCACTCGACAACATCAATCCCAAGATATCTCTTATCTGCATTTGGTTATTGGTGATTGCACTTTTGTTTTGTACTTTTGTGTAAATTAATAAGAAAAAATACATTTAGAATAATGAATAATTTCAATAATTTAAAAAAGAAAAACATAAAGTATATGTAAGGGACCTTAGATTTGTCTTAGCAATCTAGGAAGAAAAAAATGTGTAATTTAATAATAAAAAAGATTACATTTGGAATAATGAATAATTTCAATAATTTAAACAAGAAAAACATAAAGTATATATGTAAGGGACCTAGATTTGTCTTAGCAATATATGAAAGAAAAAATGTGTACCACTACCTATAGTGGTGTACGAGTACATCATATATACAATAGAAGACATAGGAAAAGTAGTCAAAAACATTGAAAAATAGCATAAGTAAAAGAGAAGGTTATCCCATGCTAAGCATGACCAAAAGAAGACTAACTTTGAAGCTCTATTTTCAACCGCAAAAAGAAAAAAAAATAGCCTTGTCAAACATACACTGTCAATCAAAAGATATGCGTGCACTTATTTCTACCATATGTGTCATGTTTAACAATTACTGAATTGGATGTCGTATAGCTCAAATATTAAAGAAGAAGAAGCAAACAGGGGCTTTAGTTATTAGGCATTTCTATCACGATCACTTCATTATATTAGGAACTAACATTATGAAAATGATGGGGAATCATAATTACCGTGCGTAATATTAATTTGTTGATAAACCATGACTATATTTCGACAACAAAACCTACCAACACAAGTAAAATGTTTTTTTTTTATTCTAAATCAAACTGGTTTTTCTTATTTAAAGCTTAATCTTTATGTCCGTGATAATAATCATCAAAAGACTGAAAATAAAACAAATGAGTTAAGATTAGCGAATGCATTTAGAAAACTGTAAAATTCTTATGCTTAAATCTATAAAGAGAGAAGTTAGCCTCTTGAATGCTGATCAATTTTTTCCTTGTTGCTTAAATTCAAAATGACAATATTATCTTAACTACTACTACATTTATCATCTCTCCAACTCTCCTTATAATATTTTCCCTAGTCTTCCTTAGTTCCATGATCCATAATGTAGTGTATATGTCCTATTCCCCACCCCACCCCCCCCCCCCCCCAAAAAAAAAAAAAAGAAAAAAAAAAAAAGAAAAGTGGGGTAAGGGAGAATTGCATGTATGTAACACTACCACCCTTTCAATAACAGAGAGCGAGGTCATATGCTTATTCACAATACTTCCTCCGTTTTTTAATTATTGCACCACTTGCCTTTTAAGGAAATTTCACAAATATTGCACCATATGCATTTAAGGAAACAAAATATCTCTGTTCACACTGCAAATACCCAATCTAGCTGCCCTTACTTTAAACACTTGATTCTTTTGTTTATGCTTACATCACGTGGTTACTTTTGTACTTCTACCCCTCTCTCCCTCTTCCTTTTTTTCCACTACCAAAAAAATTGTGCCCAACCTATATGGTGCGATAATAAACGAACGGAAGAAGTATATAAGAAGAAAAACCTACAAAATAACAGGTATTATTACTTAAGGTTAAGATTTGCTCTTAATTGATTGGTCTTTCCATATTGTTTTTATTTGTTTACTCTCCCTTACCTCGACACAACACTATGTAATCATACATATAACCAAGCAATCTACTACTTGATATTATCAACTAAAGAATATGAAAGATGCATTATTGAGTATTTTTCTATTGCAATACATTATAATTATGTTGTTTCATACATATAAAATTGTGTGATGAGGAGACATATGGATAAAATTTAATCAGAAAGACAAATCTAATATAAAGGATAAATGGAGAGAGACATCGTATGTAATAAAAAAGGAAGTAATAGAAATGGATGAAATGAAGAAGAGAGTCACATAAGAGGAAGAGAGTTGTGATATTTATGAAATGGATGAATAATCAAATTACATTATCGCACAAGAGTTGGCATTTTCATCGCTAAAAATTGTAAAAATTGGGTTGTCATTCCCATAATATTTTCCATCATACCACATTGAAAATTTATCTAAACTAACTTTGTAATCTAAGTTATCTTCACCCAATTTTGTTTCTCCTTCGCTAAAGATTCCTCTCTTATCTTTATTATCAATGCCTTCATATTCAATAACATGCACTTTTTTCCCAATCTTTTTCTTCAATTTCTTTAAAACTTTCTCAGGACAAAAACGCCCTAAAATTATCACTTTATTTCTTGTCATATCAGTAATAAACTTTTCAACTCCTGCATTATTGATACATAGATATTGTTTAATTTAAAATATTAGCATTTGATTGGTTTAATCTTACATCAATAAAATTAAAGAATAATAAATACCTTTTATTTTAGAAACAACATTAGCTACTTTTTTCTCACATGCATTGCAATGCATGGATATATTAAAATGCACTTCAACCACCTAGAATAAACATGATAAAGGCAAATTGAGATTAATAAAGATAAATCAACCAAAAAAATAACAATATAAAATAAATTAATATATTTTCCTATTGTATATGCTCGATATATATTCAAATTATTGATTACAATTTTTGATATCATAAAGCAAACAATAAAGAATCGAAATAAGGAATAGAAGGTAGAGAAAAAGGATTGAGAAAAGAATAAAGGTTGAGCTTATATCTCTTACTTGATGATCCCGTCCTTGTTTGTGTTTTCCCATGAGATTGTTAGTTAAAAAAAAAATAATGATATAAAATTATGTGAAATAATGTAGGATTTAGTTAGAGATAACTATTTCTCTTATTCGAGATCTTATCAAAATATACTATTGATGGTAGATTGGTATTGCATATCAAAACTGTTGTTTATAAACTTGTTTACAATTTTAAAAGTTGTGACTTTACGAAATGAGTAAGTTTATTCTTTGAAGAAAAATGTTATATACATGTATCATTTTTAATGTTAAAGATTTTACCCCTTAAAATAGAAGATTTTCATGAATCATCATCTAATCTTAAATATTGGCCAAGAGTGAACATTAGATGAGAAATGAAAATTTTATTCAATTTTTATATTTTGACTTAAAACGTTATGTATAATGTTGTTTTAATATTTTTTTAAGGAATATTCAATTTGATTATAAAATTACTTATATATATTTTTAAAGTTAAATCAATCAATACATTAATAAATAAATCATACAAAAATGTATTCGAATTTAACAAAAACATAACATATTGGATTAATTAATTAAACAAATCCTTCATATAGACTACTATTGTCCAGCAGATCTTGCACTATAGACTATATTTCGCTTTAATCGCTGGAATTAGGGGTGAGCAAAAAATTTGGGTACCCGAAATTGGAACTAAATATACTTTTTTAAGGAAAAAAGAATGTTAAATTTATCTAGTTAGTAAAATAAAAAAAATATATATATAATTAATATCTAACCTAAATAAAATAGCTCATGTAATCATTCATATATAAATATAAGTATTAAACTCTAAAAATGAAAATGGATCAAAGTAAGTCGTATTAAATTTGTATTAAAATTTGATAATTATGTACATAAGTGGGTACTCGGACCCGGTACCCGGCGATTCCTATTCCAATTCCTAAAGTTTAGGACCCGGTTGAAATGTTTCCAATTCCAATTCCGAATTTTAGGACCCGGTACCAACCAATTCCGAGTCCGGTTCCTAAAAATTTGATCAGGTACTCGGGTTGCTCAACCCTAGCTGGAATATACATCATTTTTGGAAAACAATCTACAACTATTTGTAATACCCCATATTTTTAATGTGCTTTATATATTATTTATTTAATTAAAATATATTTTGATTGGGTCAAAGTATTTTAATTATTAGATTATAAATAAACAAAAGTTTTAATATTTGGGTTAATAAATATTCAATCCAAACATATCTCACTTTCACAATAAATCATCCTATTTACTTATTTATTTGGGCTAATTATTTTTCCATCATATCAATTCTTATGATGCCCAAAAAAATTCTAATTTACCCTACTCCATAAATACCTCTTGAATCCAAAAAATTTGCCACACAAAAGTCAAAAAGGTAAAGTTTCTTTCCTTTCCTTTTTCTTCTTATTCCTTTTCTTTCCTTTCCTTTTTCTTCTTATTCCTTTCTTTTCTTTCCTTCTTTCTTTCTTTTCCTTCATGTGAAACAGCAACAGCTAGCACGCATGACCACCGTTGTCGCTGCCACTGCTCCACCGGAGCCACCCAATACCACCGGTGTTGCTGCAATTGCCTACTAGCAGGCCGCCAGCCACGCACCTTAACGTGGCTTGGTTCCTTCTTTCCTCTTCCTTTTTCCTATTTTGTTCATTAGTTTGGCTTTGATTTTAATTGTTTAAAAGATGCTTAATTAGTATCAAAATCTTGTTTTAAGGATTAAAAACTACTTTTCAGATTATGTATTAATATCTAATTCTCATATTTTTATGAGCTTAAAGCATGGGGTTTTTAAATTATCAAAGATATGATTTTAAGGGTTCTAATACAATTTGATTTAGGGCTTTTATTTATCTAATGATTCTATAGATTAATTGGGCATAAAAGTGTGTTTTAAATGTAGTTTTAACTCCCTCAAAAAAATATATGAAGTTTTAAGTAGTTTTTATCAACTTATAATGCTAAAATTGACCTTAAGTATAGTTTTGATGATTTTATAAAAAAAAATGTGTAATTACCCATTATTTTTAAAGTAATTTTCAGTTTTTTTTATAAGTTGTTTAAATTGAGTTTAAGTTGCTGAAAATTATGTATACAAGGGTAATTAATATTTAATATAGTGTTATTGTCCCTCTATATAGGAGACCTTGAGTTGGATTAGCTAAGAAAGGTTGCGGATTTTGGTAGCATTTTGAGGTATGTACGCGTACTCAAAATTTATTAAGCGTATAGAAAGATGCTAGGATTTATTTAATTGATTCCAAGTTATTATCATGTTAGAAATTGGTTGGAGTTGTTGAACTGAATTGATTTCATGGAATTGAATTGGATTGTTGAATTGAAATGAAATTGGTGAATTATTTTTGTAGCATGATTAGTTGAAATGTTTTATTTATTGAAATTGGTGATTATGGAATATTGTTTATGAACCACACTTTATTATTAGCATGATTGAAGGCATGTTTAATTAAACTAAATGTTTAATTTGGTTTGGCTATCGAAAGGAAATTTTATTATGGTTCATATAATTTTTTATTGATGCTTTAAGCTTGAGAATTGAGCTATTAAGTGTCTTAGTACACAATAATAAATTATATTGCGGTGCCTACGTACACTTAAGGTGTTTCTAACACCGAAGGGTAGGATTTGCGACGCATTATGCATTTAAGGTTAAAAAGGATTCAACATTAAAAGTTATGTGGTCTCTAATTACTCAAGAATTAATATAGTATGATTGATTGCTTGTATGATTATAATGTTTGATTATGTTATGGTTTGAGAGTCATCGCCAAGTTGAATAATATGTAAAACAACGTAAAGTAAAAGAGATTACGCACCAAAACTCTTGGAACGTATATAGCTCGAGTATGAACATATTGGGGGGTTATGGTGTTTTATATTTAACCATAACTTCTACAAGGAGTACAAGACGCTGTATTTTCCTTTTAATATTATTATGCGCAGGACGTCCGTCACTTCATGTGACATTTGCCTACCCGGTTAGTTCTTGGTGTAGTTACCTCAATTTATTTTGGGCAGGGACTTGGTTGGAAACCCGTTCAATGCGTAATCAAATTAAAGGAACAAATTAGTCATCTATTTATTGGTTGCTTCGTTGGAAACCCATTCAATGCGTAATCAAATTAAAGGAACAAATTAGTCATCTATTTATTGGTTGCTTCGTTGTGTTGTGCGCTTATATACAGGTGCAACAAGGTAAGTGGTGTGTTGATAGGACTAAACCATGTTAGGCCATGTTCTTTTGAGCTTTTGGGCAGACCACAGCAGAGCAGATTGAAGCAGAGCAGAGCAGATCTACTACTACTACAATTATTATTATTATTATTATTATTATTATTATTATTATTATTATCATTATTAACATTATCGCATTATTATAATCAATAAATTTTATTATAAAATATTTATTATTATTATTATTATTATTATTATTATTATTATTATTATTATCATTATTAACATTATCGCATTATTATTATAATCAATAAATTTTATTATAAAATATTTATTATTATTATTATTATTATTATTATTATTATTATTATTATTATCATTATTAACATTATCGCATTATTATTATAATCAATAAATTTTATTATAAAATATTTATTATTATTATTATTATTATTATTATTATTATTATTATTATTATTATTATTATTATTATTATATCTCAAAATCATACAAAATTATACAACCTATAGAAAATTAGTGGGAAGCCGAGATACAATCTAGGCCCCCACTCCCCTAGCTATAGAAAAGCCGATCCTAGTAAAGATATGAGCTGCAGCACGCGCCCCAATGTCCTGAGTCTTCGAGAACCTCTAGATCCGCTTCAGCAATGCAACAGCTTCCTTTTCTAACTCCCCAAGAGAAGAGAAAGAGAAAGGAAGAAAGCCATATCTAATCGCACGACAACTGGATTCGTACTTGACCCGCTTCCGATTGGCCGCATCAGTCACTACCCGTCCAGGAACAAAGTCAGATAGTCCAGACTGTGTCAATGGAGAAGACCCTGTCAAGTCAACACAGACATCGCGACCACGATCCCATGAATAAAGTATCACATCTGCAGATCTTAGAGCTTCATCGTCCCCTCCAGACAACCCAATGTCCACCTCTTTTCTAGCTGAAATCCCTGACCGATAGCAAACATCAACAAGGGTATCCCGAACAATATTATGCCGATGTTTAATGCCCACAATACCAGCACAAGTCACCGCGTGATCACTGAAAATATCTCCAGAAAAAACCCTAGAACAAGCAGAGCACGGCTTCGTGATAGAGAACAATGGAACACCCAATCGGTAGCACAGCACACAGCGATAAGTCTTGGCGTTCATTATCTTACCCAACCCTGAAATAGGGACTGCCCGAAGCCAAGCAGAGGTGTGATCTCCCTGCTGAGATTTCCATAATGCTGATTGTCGAGGAGTTAAAGAATAAGCAGATTCTGCAGAAGCAGTAACCTTTGTGAAATATATATCTGCGAATTTCTTCATGAGTTTAGGGGCAACGACCTCACTAGGATTACTCAAAATGAGTTTTTTATTATTATTAGTATTAGTATTATTATTATTATTATTATTATTATTAAATATTATTTAATTATTTTTTTTTATTATTAAAAATTAATTTTATTATTTTATTAAAAATTAATAATTATTATCTTTAAATATTACTTATTGTCTTAAAATATCAATTTTTATTAAAAAAATCAATTATTATTATTATTATTATTATTATTATTATTATTATTATTATTATTAATTATATGTATTACTATTACTGTTATTATCATTATTATAATTACTATTATTATTACTATTATTATTATTAATATTATTATTATTAAATATTATTTATTATTAAATATTAATATTTAATAATAATATTATTAAATATTAATTACTTATTTTATTATTAAATATTAATTATTATTATTATTTAATATTATTTATTTAGTATTATTATTATTAAATATTAATTATTATTAT